AATATCCCTAGTACCACAACCCCTTCTAAACCCAGCCTGGACTTCTGGCAGTTCTCTGCTGATGTGCTGTTCCAGTAATTTTTGGATAATCTCTGGTAGAATCTTGCTTGCATGTGAAATCAGTGATACTGTTCTATAGTAAGATGAATGTGATTATAAACTCTGGAATTTTCCTTTTCCGATACACTCATTTAATCTTAGTTCATTTAATCATTATGACACATTGAGTTTATAATCACTCTGATTTTAATGTAAATTTTTTAAAACACTGATTTTAATCTTGAAATGGTATTATTAATTATTATATACTTAAAGTTTTATTATGTAAATTTCATGGCATGTGGTTGGAAATCATTGAGTAACTGATATTTTTGTTTTTGTTTATGGTTTTCCTTGCCAGTGGAACAAAGCTGTTGAATTAGCTAAAAGTCATAGTATGAAAGAAATTGGATCCCTGCTGGCTAGGTATGCATCTCATTTATTGGAAAAGAATAAAACTCTGGATGCCGTAGAACTCTATCGGAAAGCGAATTACTTTCTTGATGCTGCTAAACTGATGTTTAAGGTAAAGTAATAAATACTGAGGGATATGTTTTAATTTTATTCACAAATATTTGTTACAACAAAACCCCTTTGGTTTTTATTATTGCTGTGATTATATAATATCTTAGGAGAGCTCCGGTGGTCTTGTGGTCTAGGGGTAAGAAGCACACAGTTCAAATCCACCAGCTATTCTGTGGGGAAAGATGGGAATTCTCCTCCTATGAGATTAACTGCCTCTGAAAACCCACCAAAGCGTTAGCTATGGGTTGGTTCCAACATGATGGAACACAACAGCAACAACTTAGGCAGCTTTGGTGGCTTGTTGTTGATGTGTACCATCAAAACAGAAATGACCCATAGCAGACCCTCTGGTAGGTTTTTTGAGGCAGTTAATCACAAGGGAGGAGATTGCCCATCTTTCTTCTATGAAATGACTGGTGGATTTGAACCTCATGCATTCACTATTGCAGTGCAGGTTTTTACCAGTTGGCCACCAGGAGCATTCTGCCAACACACAGATAAGCAGTTTGAATCCACCAGCTGCTTGGAGGCAGAAAGATGAGCAGTCTCTTCCCTTTCAGTTTACTGCATCTGCAAACCTGCTGGAGATTCAGCCATGAGTCACTTCTGACTTGACGGGTACAAAACCACAAGAACAATAACAATGTGTTATCTTAGTATTATTACCTTTTACTATCAAGAGTACTTATTAGTACTAGTATCTTATTTACATGGGAGAGAGAGGAACAGTCTCCTCCCATGCTATAATAACTGCCTCTGAAATCCAGTGGAGTTATGGAGGGTCAGCCAGAGGTTGAATTCCAACTCAAGGGTATACAATAATAACAACAACAGTACCTTTCTTGTAAGTAAACAACTGGATATTTACTTAATACTAAAATTTACAAAGAATTCTAGAATTTGTAGGTACCACTACTGAAATTATTTTTATTGTGAATTAAATCTTGCTGACAGTAAAAATAATTTTGATGACTTTGAAATGTGAAAGCTTTACAAACATGCTCTTTATAATATACATTTGGAGCAAAGATGACCAGTACTGTATGAATGCATGTACACTTTACAGTCTGTTATAATTTTCCATTAGATTTCACAAAATAAAAACTTTCTTCAGTTTTAAAAAAAGGAAATGTAAATTTGTAAATACTCATTATGTTAACTCTATCGTATCTAGGTGCTTGGAGCATTGTTTTAAATACCTCTGTACTGTGACAAGGTTGCCCATCCATAAAAGCTTTCTTCATTTTGATTTAGTTATTTCTCAGGCCTTGCTATTTTATAAAATTGATATAAATTCTAAGAGCTAGTTATAAAATAGAAAAATAAGTAGGAATAAGTGCTAAGGAAAAACAATGATTTTTATGTATTTATTATAAGTAAGTAATATGTGATATTCCATTCTATTACTTTTCTTAAAAATTAATATATAGTTAATTTTGGAAATTATTATATTTGTACAGATATATATTAAGAAATAAATTTCTTACATTTTTAAAGATTGCAGAGGAAGAAGCAAAGAAAAGAACAAAACCTTTGCGTGTTAAAAAGCTCTATGTACTGTCAGCTTTACTTGTAGAAGAGTACCGTGAACAAATGAAAAATGCTCAACGAGGAAAAGTTAAAGGAAAGAGCTCAGAGGTAAAGGACAACCTTAAGTCATTTTAAAGAACATTAGATCATCTTAAGTATTTAGGAAGAAATCCTTATCAAACTGTCTGAACAAGTCAGTTAATTTGCATGTTAGTATTTACTTTATTAAATGATATCAGGAAAATGAACAAAATGAATACTCAGATTTGGAAATGTCTTTTCAGAGAGATTGAAATTTCCTTTAAGTCAGATCTGTAGTCTTTATTTTTGTTAAAAATGTTATTCACCTAGTAAATACTTCCTTCTAATCAGTGAGTTTAAAAACTTTCCTAGAATATTTATATTATTTTAATGTCTAGATGAGTCATTTATTAAAATTCTCTAAGGATGGCACAGGTTTGGGTATAGTTTTCTTCTGTTGGTTGTAAGGTTGTTATGTATAGAGTCTACTGACAGCACCCAATGACACAACTTCATAAAATTGGATAGTTTCAAGTTAACCCTGTGGATTATATTGGAAAAATGAATTCTTGAACGACATTCTTGGTAGTGATATGATCACTTTTAGAGCTGTTTTGGTGTGCAGCAGTTTCGGAGGTTGCCTTTTTAATTCTGACTGTTGTTATGTGGTAGTTCATACTATGTGTGTTTGTGTGTGTATTGACAGAACACCTGGGCTCTTTTTGTAGACCACTTCTGCTTTGGCTGGTTTGCTGGAAGAGGAGGTGCAGTCTACAACTGATCGTTTCACAGACAATGCTTGGAGAGGAGCAGAGGCTTACCACTTCTTTATCCTGGCACAGAGGCAGCTCTATGAGGGATATGTTGACACTGCATTGAAAACAGGTGGGCATATTTAAATAATGCACATGTGTATTATGTCTGAAAATTAGAAATTGAATATTGAAGGACAAAATCCTTTGATTTTCCTTTTCCTCTTTTTACAAATTGTTTTGCATATAATCATTCTTGTAATTGTGTTTAATTCATGTATGCTGTATTTTATACAATCATTCATCATATACATTGTATTTTACATGATTAATTGCTATTGTTCTATGCCTGTTGTCACTCTGACCTACTACCCTTTGCTGTCCTAGCGATCCTCTTACTTCCTTTCTGCTTCCCCTTTTGAACATTTATACTTTAAATGAATATTATTAGCATTTTCCCTATGGATTTCTCTACATATGGTTGACATTGTTATACATAATTTGCTTTGTGCATTTCTCTTGAAATTCTTTTATTCCTAAATACTTGTACTACACACAGTACATAAAAATCAGGCATTTGAGATAATTAAAAAAAAATTATTCACTATTCCATGCATTCAAAGTTAAAACACTTAATAGCTCAATCTATATCCTCACTTAGTCCAGCCCAACATTGAGCATAAGGGGCCTCACAAATCCTTTGATTCCTCAAGCCAGCAAGCCTTTCCTGTACTTCCAAGCATCTGTACATGGTAGGTGGGTAGGGATGAACAATGGGTCTAAGCTCAGCCAGTTTCTCCATTATTGCATTCCTCCCTCTTCCACTCCTGTGGATCTAAGCCATCGGTATGAGTGGGCAAACTTCAACCTCAAGTCTTGGAGGTGGAGACTGCTGGATGCCACCTTGACCCTGCTTCAGAGAAGCCAAATACCTTGGTCAGTAAGGAGAGTCTCTTCCTTTCCTTTTTTATTTTTCAGTCTCTTCTTTCCTGCTTACCCTTTTTACAAATGTGAATCTCCTCCATCAGCAGCGCAATGTGGGTCCACAAATTCATTCAAATGCAGATCTCCTCTGAGTACTGAGTGGGACTCAGTCTTTCCCCTCAGCCAAGTTCTAACTCCCCCCACCACATTCTACTTTAAACAAGCTTATCTCCTCTCCAGGGCAGATCTTCCCTTTTGGTACTCCAAATGAAGAATTGGCCAAGGGTACAATGACCCACTTTTTAAGACTAAATCATCCAGTGTTCTTTTATATAGTATTTTTTTCATCTCCCTTTACTTTTTTAAATTGATTTGCATAGAACCACCTTTACACACTGCACTTTATCCATGTATGTTGTGTTCCACAATCCCTCATACTCCCTGTACTTCATATGATTAACTATCTCTTATCCTTGTCTTTTATCACACTGAATCTCCAACACTTAACTGATCCTCCCTTCTAACCTCCTCCATCCAATTAATCATCTCTCCAACAGTTTTGGAGGGAATTGTGCTGGTAACCTGGTGGCCCCTGTTTGGTGGTTTGAATCGAGCAGTGGCTTCCGTGGAAGAAAAATGGCTATTTTTTCCTGTGTGATTTACAGCTTCTGAAAACCCTTTGGAGGTTCAGCTGTTAGTCAGTTCAGACTGCACAGCAATGAAGTTATTTTTTATTTGTTTTTTTAATCCATTTTTAACATATCAGAAAGATATCAATAAAATAGAAAAATACTTTATAATCTATTAACTCAGAGCTAATCACAATTAACATCTGGATAAATTTCCTTTTAGGTATCTCTATATGCCATTTAAATATATACAACTTGTCATAGTGTACAATGTTATAGTGTACCTTGTTCCAGAACTTGCTATTTTCTGAGTAGTATGCCGGAGTTAATCTTTGCACTGAGGTAAACAGATCTCTGTCATCATTTTTAGTAGCTGCATAATATTCCACAGCATTTATATCCTATGGTTTATAGGAGAAGATTATGTACAGACAGTATCAGAATCTTTTTAGGAAAATAAGTAGTAAAGTACAAATAATTTAAAATTTGCCTTTTTAGTAGTTTTTTTGGTCACTTCCTATTTTTAAAATTTTTTAATTAATTTTAATGAAAATTTACAAAGACTTTGGATTTCTATTCATTCATTGTTGCACTTTCCTCCCTGCCCACCCCTCCTCCCCAATTTGCTCTTCTCTTTGAAAAGTAAAATAAAATTCTTTGATTGTTATACAATCCCTCCCAAGTCTACTCCAACTATGCAGCCTTCATTCTGGACTCCTGTCATGACAATAATACCTAATCATATATCCCTTTTAAACAGTTCTCTCCCTCATTTGTTTCAATACAGTATACATAATTTATCTCATCTTTCTCAGTCTCCCCCAAACTACAATATCAGTCCTGCTTTACAACAATGGCACTATGCAGCATTTGTCCCTCTGTGACCGAGATCCTTTACTCAGCATAATGTCTTCCAGGATCACCCATTTTGTATAATAATTCATGAGTTCCTTGTTTTTCAATGCAGCATATTATTCCATTCTTTGAATATACCACAGCTTCTCTATCCATTCGTTTGTTGATGGGCACTTGGGTTGTTTCCAGCTCTTTGCTATTGCGAACAAAGCCACAGTAAACATGGGTGTGCATATATCTGCTTGGGTGGCAATTATGGTTTTTTTAGGGTATATTCTCCAATAGTGGAATTGCTGGGTCAAATGGTATTTCTTTTATTTTATTTTATTTTATTTTTTTCAAATGGTATTTCTATCTGCAGCTTTTTGAGAAAGTACCATACTGCCTTCCATAGTGGTTGCACCATTTTACATTCCCACCAACCACTTAATGAATAAAGGTTCAGTTTCTCTGCAACCTCACCAGCATTTATGTTTACTGTTCTGTTAAATTTTGTTATTCTTCCTAGGGTGAGATGATATCTCATAGTTGTTATTATTTGCGTCTCTCTTAGAGCTAGGGATTTTGAACATTTCTTCATGTGTTTGTTTGCCATCTGAAAGTCCTTTTTAGTAATTTTTAAGCATACAATTCAGTGGCATAAATTACATTGGCAATGTTGTATATAACCTTCCAAAACTTTGCTTTACTCCAAACAGAAATCTTGGAGGTAATAACTCTTCATTCCTTTTTCCTTGAGTCATTGATATTTCATTAAGTATATTCATTTAATATTTGTTGTACATGTTGTTGTATGTATCACAATGTCATTCCTTTTTTATGATTGAATATACTATGTGTGTGCCAAATATTGTTTATTATCTGTTGATGAGCATTTGGATTATTTATAACTTAAGTGTTGTGAACATTCATGACAAGTACTGGTTTGCATTCCTGCATAGGCAATTAAGGAAAAATTGCTGGGCTATTCTGTTGTTACAGGGTTCTCATTTGGCAGTGCTGACCCGAGAGCATCTAACAACAACATAGTAATTGTATGTTCACCTTTTTTGAGGATGTTTAAAACTTTTTTCCACAGGACTTAACGCTATTTATGTTCCCACTAATAATACCAACAGTGTTGTTCTTCAGGAAAGATATTGACATGTTCTTTTTGACAATGAATGTGACGCCTTTCTTCTTCAGTTTGTCTTTTCTGCTTAAAAGGTCATATAGACTCAGAATGGCCAGTACCTGTCCATTTCACCTCACTAAAAACAGTTGATTTTTATGCGTTTCATTCTTTATATTTTTGACAAATTCTAGTTTTCCCAGATTCATGCTTCATACTTTCCATGTTCTGATTATTATGGTTGTTTGTACTTGTTAGTGATAGGACAATATCTATTTGCATATGAGGAATGTCTGTTAACATGTCTTACTCAAATTGACACAACAACCACTAAAACAAAAAATAAAGGAATAGAGGATTTCTAACAAACTTTTAAAACTGATACATACATGGATAACAAGACATATAAATGGTGATAGGAATGTAAAAGTTGGGAAAAAAGGAAAGGTTGGAAGTTGCAAAATAGGACCTTCATAAGAGAAACAAGAGCAGAAATTGCATGACAAAATTTTGTACAACCAACAATTTATTAATTGCAAATACCTTTTTTAAAAAAAAAAATCTAAAACATGAATGTGCATGTTCTTCACTGGTTGGAGCACATAAGAATAAAATGGACTGTGAATCACTTTTACATTTGTGAAAAAAAGCTCAATGTAATCAGTCAGCACAAGCCCAGGAACTAACTTGCTCATATATACATTCATTTGACGTTAAAGAAAATGAAAACAAGTCCAAAGGGACCAATCTTTTGCTGATAAAGTGAGAAATTTTAGGGACAAAAATTCTCTTATAGTAGTGTCTGAATCTAAGTGATAAACTGTTAATAACATTTTTCTGTATAGTCAATATGTATCACTCTTTTTCACCCCCATGTTTTTACTTATGTGTTTAGAAAATCTTTCATTTCAAGTTAGTAAGTTTTGTATTTTAGAATTTCTTGGTAATCCCATTGTTGTTCTTCTTGTTGTGTACCGTGGAGTCAGAACCAATCCATAGCTGACCCTCTGGTGGGTTTTCAGAGGCAGTTAATCACTTGGGGAGAGATTGCCCATCTTTCTCCCATGGAGCAGGTGGTGGAATTGATCTGTGTGCCTTCAGAATTGTAGCACAGCTTCTTACCACTAGTCCACCAGGGCTACTTGCATTATTAAAAAACCATTTATTAAAAATATATTATTTTCTCACAGATTTTTAAATTTTACCTTTATTAAATATATGCATATTCTCAAATATCTCTAGACTGTACATTTCCTTTTCTCTTTCTCTGTGCCAGTTCTATCATCTTATTGATGTTTTTTGTTTTCATATCTGATAATTAAACTTTCTTCCTCATTTGGAATTTTTTGCATGTTCTTTCATTTTTTTTAACCCAGGTTAACCCCTTTTAAAGATGATTAGAGTTTCAGTGAAATCCCATTAAATGGGAATTGCATTAATTTAATAATATTGGACAATTATATAGGTTTATAATATTGAATTTTCTTATTCAAAAACATCTTTTTTTAAAACATTGCATATATGTGTTTGCCACTACCTATCAACTGAGGACTGTCACTGGTCTCCCTGAGACTGATGTGTGATGGCAGCCAAAGGACGAAGGTCAGGAGTCAAGACCTTGTGGGGGGCCTTTGTATTTAAACGTGGATTGTTATTATATTTTGGAGGAACATTCTTCTAAGTGGCACAGCACTCTTCTGTCAGTTTGCTGTACTGAGGTAACTTGTGGCTGCTGTGATGCTGAACCTTCTGCCATTGGGGTGTCAAATGCCCTAACAGTTACCCATGGTGGACAGTGTTTGGTGGAGCTCCCAGTTTAAGACAGTTTTGAAAGCAGGAGTGGCATCTACTTCCTAAAGAACTTGCTTCTGGAAACTCTATGAACTTTGAGAAATGATAGTTGTAGAAATGCTTCATTCAGGTCTTTTTGTACATAGGGTCACTATGAGTATGTTCAACTTGATGGCGATCATCAACAACAACAACATATATGTTTCTTTAGTTTTCTTCTTAAATTCTACAGACAATTCCCTTTCATTTTATTCTTACTGTTATCAATAATAATGGTACTCTTAGTTTTTTCTATTTTAACTGATTAATATATACTATGAAAGAGAGTTAAACAGTCTCTTCCTATGTGATTTGCAGCCTCAGAAACCCAGTGGATAGTCATCTATGAATTAGTTCCCAATGAATTTGAGTTTTTACTTTATATATCACTTAAAATAATATTTACACATTTATATATAATTTCAGACTGATGTTAAAAGATAATTAGACTTTTAACTTGAGACTCCTTTCCTACTGGTAGAAAATACTTATATATGTTTCATTATGTTTATCTTTCAGTGATAAAATTATCTGAAGTCTTTTGCTCTGTTCATTGCTTATTATGTCCAGATGTGAAATCAGAGGATATTCTGTTTTGTAACTTAATTGATTTTTTTTTAAATATTGTTCTTCTAAGCTTTATTTTAAACACCTGACCCTAGACCAATTTATAGGACTCTAGTGAGCTCTGGTGGCTTACTGTCAAGAAGCTGCGCTGCAATCCCAATGGCACACGGTTTGAGTCCACCAGCTGCTCTGTGGGATAAGGATGGGCAATCTCCTCCCGTGCAATTAACTGCCTCTGAAAACTTGCCGGAGGGTCGGCTTTCAGTTGGTTCCAAATTGATGGTACACAATAACAAGAAAAGTGGCTTAGTGGTAAGAATTGCGCTGCCAAAACAATTGTATACATTTCAAATACAAGAGGTAGTCAAAGAAAGATGGAGGAGTCCTATGCAATTTACTGCCTTGAAAAACCCACTGTAGAGTCAGCTGTTGGTCAGTTCCAATTCGACAGTATATACCAACAACAGTTGCAAAATACATAAAAATATTGATTTAAGATTTCTTGTTAAATTTCCACTGCTTAACAAAATTGCCGTTGAGTTGATTCTGACTTAAAGTGACAGAGTAGAACAGTCCCATAGGGTTTCCAAGGCTGTAAATCTTTATAGAAGCAAACTGCTGTATTTTTCTCCTGACAAGCAATTGGTGGGTTTGAACTGCCAGACTTTCAGTTAGCAGATGCATACTTAATCACTCTTCCACCATAGCTCCTTACTTAATTATAGCAAGATACTGTTAAAATTGTAAAGCTAGAGAATAAAAAAATAAAATATCATGGGAAATTTGGTATTAACTCTATAGTGTGTTTTTTAAGCGATTGTAGTGTCAGTACAGAAAAACTGAAAATAAGATGTTGTTTAAACTTACAGGTTTATTTTCATCCTTCTTTTCCACATTGTTTATGTAAAACAAATGTAAACAATAATCTGTTAAAGAAACACAAAGGAAAAAAAACGTATCTTTTCATACTTCTCTGTCTTCTTCTGTAAAAATTTTGAAGTTATTGGGAATTATGACTACTATAGTACAATATTTATCTCTTAATGATGTGACATAGATATGTATAACATGGAAGGAAGTTGACTTCGATTGTTTTGGTTTTGTTTGGCTTGTGTGCATATTTTTAAGTAGCTTAACCAGATGACTCATTGGACCTTAGCTGCAAATTGAATTTAAAAAGCTTTGGAGATGATTACGCCTTCTTCTTCCTCCTTCTTGTCGTCTCTCCCATTACTGTTTTTCAGGTTTGTTAAAGTTCATGTAGGTTAAAGTAAAACACTTTAATATGGTTCTTATCTATGCCAGTTCATAAAATCTTGGTTTCTTTTAAAAATCCAAATTGTCTTTCGTTTTGTAGCTCTTCACTTGAGAGACTATGAAGATATTATTCCTGCTGTTGAGATCTACTCTTTGTTAGCACTCTGTGCCTGTGCCAGTAGAGCTTTTGGTACCTGTTCAAAAGCTTTTATTAAACTGGAATCTTTAGACACCCTCACTCCAGAGCAGAAACAGCAATATGAAGATCTTGCCCTAGAAATCTTCACAAAACATACTCCAAAAGATAACAGAAAATCGGAATTGGACAACCTTCTTGAAGGGTATGCTGATTATACCTTTTCTCCTACCTTTTTGGAAGCTTCTGATGTCCACTGTGTATTTGCATGTCTAATAAGACCAACAAAGACCACTGCTGTCAAGTTGATTCTGACTCATTGCAACTTTCCATCTGGTTTCCAAGTCTTCCACATCTTTACAGGAAGAGACTGCCAGTCTTGAGGCTAGCTGTCACGTTTATACATGATCACTATGCCAGAGCTCCTTATGTATATAAAATGATATGATATAAAAATCAAAGGACTAAATAGTGCCTTTCTTCATTTATATACCCTATTTTATTGGTGCTCTAGTTCTTCCTTTTAAGAAAATTTTTGTACATGAGGTTTATCTTGAAATTGTCTTTATTCTCCAGATTTTGAGTGTAATAGGTGAAGTAAATGAAACTAATTGTAAATTTTAAAATATAATTCAATTATGTTCCTTTTATTTTTACAGTGGGGAAGGAAAACTGCCAACATGTATTGCCACCGGAAGCCCAATCACTGAGTATCAGTTCTGGATGTGCCCTGTGTGTAAGCACTGCGCTCTGACTCAGGAAATAAGTAACTATAGCTTTTGTCCCTTATGCCATAATTCAACCCAGTAAAGAAATAGAAAATGGCATAAAGTATAAAATGCGTGTAGTATATATACATAGATAGTACTGACCAATGTGTGTGTGTATGTGTGTATATATATGACTAGATATATATATATACTCAGTCTTAGTCATATATATATATATATATAAAACTCTCTTAAGTACTATATGAAATAATCTGATTATTTCATGTTTTTATGTATTTTTTAGAAAAACTACATATTAATAATTATTAATTTTTGTACAAAAGTACAATTATGAAATATTAAAGCTGGTTTTCATATATAATTAATGATAGTCCATCCTGCACATATATTTATATGCACAGCTGTCTGATCTATCTTGCAGTTAGTTGTATACCATGGAAATATTATAAATAAATGAATTTTGTTTCACCTTTTAGTGTCAAGTTTATGAATTTATTTTTAATAAAACAACTTTGAATGGAAATAGAAGAAGCATAGGCGTGGAACAAAGTTAAATTTAGTGAATGACATCATCTTTCTAAAGGGAAATGGAATGATTTAATACTGAAATTAGCCCTATCTCTAGCTGTATTTGCTCAGTTTAGAGATTGAATACGTATGGCAAAAGGATACAACCTTGGCATACATCTTTCTTTATTTGAAACCATTCTGTGTTCCCTTGCTCAGTTCAGGCAACAGCTGCTTGGTCTTCATATAGGTTTCGTCTGAGAAAAATTAGTTGTTCTGGGATTCCCATTTTTCTCAATATTAACCACAGTTTGTTATGATCCACACAGTCAAATGACTTTGCATAGTCAACAGAACACAAATAGACAACCTTCTGGTATTCTGTGCTTCCTGCCAAGATCCATGTGACATCAGCAATGATATCCCTGCTGCCACGGCTTCTTCTAAACTCAACTTGAACTTCTGGCAGTTCTCTGTCAGTGTATTGTTGTAGTGCTTTATGGATGACCAAATAATTTGAGGAGCTAGACTCTGTAAAGAGGAACATCAGGATAGGAGAAAGAGTTTTCAACAACCTGCATTATACAGATGACACAACCTTGCTTGGTAAAAAGGAGGAAGACTTTAAATGCTTGCTGCAAGTGATCAAAGAGTACAGCCTTCAATACACATTACATCTCAACATCAAGAAGACAAAAATCCTCACTACTGGGCTGATTGATAAGCAGCATCATGGTAGAATGAGAAAACATTGAAACTGTCAAAAACTTCATCTTGGATCCACAATAAATACTCTTGGTACCAGCAGTCAAGAAATCAAAAGACGTGTTGCATTGGGAAAGCCTCAGCATTACCACTTTCCCTTTCTCATTTTCATCTTCAGTATCACCTGACAACTCAGAGTTAGATTGTCTTGCTTCTTCTAGTCTAGTGCAGCCTGCTGATTGAACTTGTGTTTGTTTAAATTTATGTTTTGGAAACTCTCTTCTATAGAGTCTTCTCATTTGCCTTTAATTTTGCCATATTGTGTGAACCTTAGAATTTTTCTTATTATTTAAAGGGAGATTCCTTAGTTGCTATCCCTAACCCTTAATTAGTTTTGATGCAGAAGCCAAAATTCTTAAAAACCACTTCTTAAACCTTCAAGGTTAAATAAACACACCTTTGTTTCTCTCTCTCATTCTCTTGCACACATGGGCACACACACACACACACACACACACACACACAATTTCTCCTAGCATAAAAGCATAGGTCTAGATGATTTGATCTATCTCAGGAAAAGGTTTAAGATCTGCCATGTTATCTTGGGAATTTACCTTGCTTAAACAAGCAATGAGAGAATGCATATCTGAATTGAACCAGTTGGTTTTACTCACCATGAAGGAAATTTCAAGATAACACCACCACCAACACGTTCCCCAGCCGAAAGAGGGAAATAGAGTGTCAGAATTGTCCAGATAAAGCAGATACTTAGAGAGAAGTTGGATTAACACAATTGGGCAGTATATTGAAGACAGTATGATAAAACAGTTGCAATATTTTTTTTCTTTAATTAAACTGTTTCATTAAACAACTGCTGTTGTTGTTAGGTGCCATTGAGTTGAGTAAGACTCATAGCAACCCTATGAACAAAAAGATCTGAACCCATTCCTGTCCTGTGCCATCCTCACACTTCCTGCCACACAAGAGCCCATTGCATCAGTCACCTTTTCAGTTCACCTGGCTGAGTGTCTTCCTCTCCTTTGCCAACCTTCCACCTTTCCCAACATCATGTCCCTCTCCAAACTTTAGCACCTCCTAGCAATATGTCCAATGTTAGGTGAAGCCTTATCGTTCTAGCCTCCAAAGGGCACTCTGGCTGCACCCTCTCCAAGACATCTGTTTGTTCTCTTGGCCGTCCATGGATGTTCAGTGCTCTTCTCCAACAGAAGAGTTCAAAGGTATCAATTCTTTTTCTGTTATTCTTATTCGTTATCCAAGTCTCGGGTGCATAGCTAGTAATCGGAAAGATTGTGGCCTAAATCAGGCGCACCTTAGACCTCAAACCGACATCACTATTCAACAATTTGGAGAGGCCTCTAACTGCAGATTTTCCCAGTGCAATGTGTCTCCTTATTTCCTGACTTCTGGAACCAAGGGTGTTAATTGTGGATCCAAGCAAGATGAAGCTGTTAACAGTTTCAATCTCTTCTCCATCCATCAGGACACTGACTATTGGTCCAGTAGTAAGAATCTTTGTTTTCTTGATATTGAGATGCAGTCCATACTGAAGACTGCATTCCTTCATCTTCTGCAACAAGTGCTTCAAGTCCTCACTTTTCATCAAGGTTCTGTCATCTGCATAATGCAGGTTATTGATGAGTCTCCTTCCAATCCTGATGCCACATTCCTCTTCACAGAGTCCAGCTTCTTGGATAATTTGCTCAGCATATAGATTGAACAAGTATGGGGATAGAATAAATTACTTTTAGGTAATGTAGAAGTAGAATTATTCTTTATCATAAAACTTGCCCAGAATTATGTTTCAATTTAGTATGGGAAAAGAAAGTATTGAAATAATGAGCCAGTGGTAAAGCTAAGTTAAGCAATGCACCAAACAAGCAGCAAAGCATTGTTTACTTGCTGTTATATGTAGAGGCTAATTTCATTATAAATTGTTTTGGTAAGATATATTTTGACATTATATTTTTATATTCCAAGGAGTGACATTCAAGGTTTTATGGGCCATTAGGTGAAAAAAATATCAAATATTTTACTATGCATTGCATTTGTTCTGAGTTTCCTTTCTATTTTATTGATGACATAGTCCTTTTTTTGGTATTGATTCACATATTTTGGTGGGAGTAGGATAGGAAGATATTTGGTTTCAGAGGAGATGAGGGGTGTGAGAGGGCAATACAATAGTTGTGAAATACTACTTTTGCTACTAAATAAGGAGGAAAAAAGAGAAGTTACAAATATGGGAAAAATAATTGAGGTTATAGACCAGGGAGCTCCGTTGGCCTAGTGGTAAGAAGCTGTGCTGCAATGGTTCAAATCCATCAGCTGATCTGCAGGAGAAAGCTGAGCAGTCTCCTCCTGTGTGATTTACTGTCTCTGAAATCCTGATGGAGGGTCAGCTATGAGCTGGTTCCGACTCGAAGCATACAACAGCAAGAACAGTGCTTCCAGTGAATTAATCCTTAAATTCACATGTTGTTAGTTGTTGTTAGGTGCTGTCGGGTTGAGAACAACCCATAGTGACTCTATGAACAACAGATTTGAACTTTGTCTTATCCTGTGCCATCCGCATACTTCCTTATACATATTAGAGCCCATTGCAGCAGTCACCATGTCAATCCACTTGGTTGAGGGTCCTTCGTTCCTTTGCCAACCCTTCCCCTTGCCAAGCATCATGTCCCTTTCCAAGGAATAGCCCCTCTTAGCAACATGCCTGAAGTATGTGAGGTGAAGCTTTATCATCTTTTCCTCCCAAGAGCACTCTGGCTGCATGTTCTCCAAGACATATTTGTTCTTTTAACAGTCCATGGGATGTTCAGTATTCTGCAGCTCAAAGGTATCAATAATTCTTCTGTTATCCTTAATCTTTGGAGATGAAGGTGTGCCTGATACAGGCCATGGTCTTTGCAACCACTTGTTATGCATCAGAGAGCTGGACAATGACTAGGGAGGACAGGAGAATTGACGCCTTTGAGCTGTGGTGCTGGAGACGAGTATTGAATGTACCATGAACTGCCAAGAAAACAGATTCATCCTAGAGAGGGTTAAACCAGGCTACTCCTTAGAGGCAAGGATTCTGGGACTTTGTCTGACATACTTTGGACATGTTGCAAGGAGAGACATGTCTTTGGAGAGGGACATCATGCTGGGTAGAGTAGAGGGATAGTGCAGGAGGGGAAGACCCTCTATGAGGTGGATTGATTCAGTGACTGGGGTAATCGGGATGGGTGTGTCAGAGGCAATGCGATTGGCACAGGATAGAGCAAGGTTTAGGGCTGTTGTACATAGGGTCGCTATAAGTCGCAAACGACTCGATGGCACATAACAACAACATCCTTAATCAACACTCTTGGCAACAGCAGCCAGGAAATCAAGAGAAGAATTGCATTGGGAAAGTCAGCTGTGAGGGACTTCTCAAGAGTACTGAAGAGCAACAACGTCAGAGTGGAGACTAAGGTGTGCCTGATCCAGGCTATATAGTCTTTGCAATTACATGCTTTGTGTCAGAGAGTTGGACAGTGAGTAGGGTTGATAGAAAGAGAATTGATGCCTTTGAGTTGTGGTGCTGGAGAAGAGTGTTGAATATACCATGGACTGCTAGGAGAACAAACAGATTTGTCCTGGAGAGGGTGAAGCTGCAATGTTGCTTGGAGTCAAGGATTCTGAAGCTTCGTCTGACATACTTTGGGCATGTTGCAAGGAGGAACTGATTCTTGGAGAGGGACATCATGATTGGGAGAGTGGAGGGGCGGTGAAGGAGAGGAAGACCTTCGATGAGATGGATCAATTCTGTGACTGGAGCAGTGGGAATAAGTGTGTTTTGAGATGGCTAGGCTGGCACAGGATAGAACAGCATTTAGAGCTCTTGTACGTAGGGTCACTATGAGTCACAAGCGACTCGAT